CATGTACTTCATAAAATCGCTTTATTATGACATTGTTAAAAAATGAATTTGCTTTATATTAGTTTTTATGTTCAGAAATTAGTAGAACTTTCTGAAAATCTGTACTTAATTACTATGTTATCATTATTATCGCAGGACGCTTTATGAAGGTTAGGATTTTGATAACTTTTTAGTGTAAGCCATTTGTGTTAGTTGTTATCGTAAAGGTACGTTCACACTTTGATCGCTACAGAATATAATATGATCGTGTTTGGCAATGTTATGATCACATTCTGTTATAAGATCACAGACATTAGATAAATAGGAAAATAATATCTAATCAGAGCAACATATCACTGAACTGAAACTTCTAAACGAAAATTAAATTTTGGAAATTTCCGTTATTGCCTTTTTATACCCACCATCAATAAATTTGGGAGCATATTTATTTTATCATTCCCTTTGTAACGTATCGAAATATTGATCATAAACCCACTAAAGTATATATATATTCTGGGTCCTTATTGAATTCTAAGACGATCTAACCATTCCTGTCTGTCTGTTGAAATCACGATAGAGTCCGAACGGAAAGAACTAGAGAGTTGAAAATTTCCACAAATATTCTAATAGGTAAAGTTTGTTTGGTATTGAAAATGGGTAATATCGGTCAACGTTTTCGCATAGCCCCCATACAAGTGATCCCCTTCAGAAAAATCTTTAACGATCATTACTGCCTTGATAATAAGAGTATAGCGATAAAATTCGACATAAGCAAGTTTCTTATGAAAATTCTACGAGGATCGGTCCACAATTGACTCTACTCCCCATATAAGGTCCCTCAGAAAATGACGTCAACGCTCACTACTGAAAAATACGAGTATAGCTCTGAAATTAGACATAAGTAAGTTTCTTACAAATCTTACAAATAATTAATCCATCTCTCTACCGAATTTTATGAGAATCGGTCCATAATTGACCATACCCCCCATATAAGGCACCCTTCAGAAAATGCCTTTATGCACATTACTGGCTTAAAATTTGCGAGTTTAGCTATGAAATTCGATATACAGAAGTTAGATTCTTACAAACCAAAATCTACCGAATTTTATAATTGACCCCGATTGACCGTCCCTATATGTTCATGGTTTAAAAGTTGAACAAACATATTTTGTTTTTAAAAATTAATATTTTGTTAATCCGAAAGGAGTCCATAATTGACTATTTCAAACATCAACCTAATGCTTATAGTGGAGCAAGAATATAACACTCTTACTTGTTATTTTTACAGTTTTTTATCTGAAAGAAATGTTAGTTTTATGCTACCTAAAATTATATTGCAACATATGGTGGACATCGGACCATAATTCACCCTACCCATAAGGGTTCCCTTCAGCTATTCAAAATCATAATAACAGTGTAGCAACTTTAACCAGTTTTCTGAGGATCGGCTCATAATTAACCCTATCTCCCATATAAAGATTCCCTCAGAAAAATTCTTTAATGCTCATCATAGCTGTAAAGTGTGAATAATTTTATTCTTCTTAATTTACATTTTATAAAACATTATTCACTTTTTGCACCCTATAAAGCTGCAGGGCCGGATGGAATTTTCCCGGCACTTTTGCAGATGGAGGCGGAACTGGTTTCCGTACATCTGTCACAGATATTCACTGCATGCTTAAAATTGGCATATACCCCAGTTAAATGGCAGGATGCAAGGGTAATATTTATACCCAAACCAGGGAAACCTAGCTATGCGACCGATACCGGTCCTATCGACCGATAAGCCTTACGTCCTTCCTACTTAAAACCTTGGAACGGATAGTCGATAGCATGGTTAAAAGCAGCATACCATACAAAGACCTTAAATATAAGCAGCATGCTTATGTAAAGGGAAGATCGGTGGAAACCGCTTTAAATGAAGTTGTCCACTACAAAGGTGAATCTTTCGATAGCAAACTGTATACATTGGCGGTATGCATTGACATCGAAGGCGCTTTCAATAACGTGCACACTGATACCCTTATCCAATCCCTAGACCAGTTTTATGTTGACCGGGTGCTCCGTAACTGGATCAATTACATGCTAAGGAACAGATGGATAAGCTGCGAGATGTACGATATAACTATCAGGAAAAAGGTATTTCGCGGTATACCACAGGGTGGCATTTTGTCACCTTTACTCTGGGTTACCACGATTAATAGCCTCCTAAGGACCCTAACTGAGAAAGGACTTAGACCTGTCTGCTATGCAGACGATGTCGTAATACTTTTAAAGGGAAAGGATCCAAATTACTTGTGTAGAAGAGCTGAGGATGCTCTGAATACGGCCTTGAGCTGGGCTCAACCGAGAGGCCTCAATGTTAACCCGGCGAAGACGGAAATCTGTCTTTTCATAAGAAAGACAAAAATTTCTACATATACTGAACTTAAAATGGAGACACCACATAGAGGATAGGATCAACAAGGCACATCGGTGCTGGGCGATACGTAGAAGAACCATAGGCATGAAATGGGGTCTTAGTCCTACTATGACAAATTGGCTTTATAAAAGTGTAATTAGACCAATTCTAGCTTATGCTTCAATAATCTGGTGGACTGCTTTGGACAAAAAGTGTAATATCAAACTACTACAGGAATTTCAGCGTACATGATGCTTGAGTATAAGTGGTGCCATGTGTACTACTTCAACCAAGGCTCTGGAAACGTTGCTAGATATTCCACCCATTGAAACATATATAAGATATGAGGCGGCGCTTACAGCCGAACGGCTCTTTACTTTAGGCGAACTGGCCAAAAACGGTTATAGGACACGTCATCAATGTATACTGGACACATTGGAAGGTTATACACATTCATCGGACGTGCCTGATCGCATACCAGACACTGAATATGTCGGAAACTTTGAAACGCTAATCCCAGATAGAATGTCTTGGTCAAGAGGAACATTAGAGCAAATACCAGTAGGAATCCGTTGCTACACGGATGGCTCTAAATTAGGGGACAAAGTGGGCCTGGGGTTCTATATTCAAGACCCAGAAACAGAAATATACCACCGTTTACCTAATCATAACACAAGCTTCCAGGCAGAAGTACGAGCAATAACGGAATGTGTAAATTGGATTAGAATAAATATGGCGCCCACAGGGCTTAATATATTTACCGACAGACAGAAGGCAATTTGTGCGATATCAGGTGATAGAATTAAATCTAAGACCGTATTGGATTGTAAGAAAGCTTTAACTGAATACTTTCCCAGAGGTAAGGTTCACATCATATGGGTACCAGGCCACTCGGGAGTAGTCGGCAACGAAAGGGCGAATGTAATAGCTTTAAAGGGAAGGGAGCTCGATGTAGTTAACCTGACAAACGCAAAACCATTCGACGCAACAAAAGCTGAATTAAAAATATGGATGAGAGAATCCCATAAGGCCTCTTGGAATAATGAAACGGTGGGTAGAACCACAAAGATTCTATGGGGTGACCCTGATGAGAGCAAGACGAGAAATCTTCTCAAAATGAGCAAGTCTGAGGTTAGTATGATGGTTCGTATTCTGAGTGGACACACAGGATTACGAGTACACCTATACAAAATTGGATTCAATGCGGATTCAGACGAATGTAGAGCATGTGGAGAGGACAGTGAAACTCTGGAGCACTTTCTTTGCCATTGTCAGGAATTCGTCGAAGTTAGATCCAAGTATCTTGGAAGTGATGTTATTCCGGAAATAACATTCTTAACCAACACCGATTGGATGATTCTTAGGAATTACGTCCAGGAAACTGAGTTTCTGAACATGGAAAAATAATACATTCAGTGAACAATTTTTTTTTTCTTTCTTGAATTGGAGCGCACAACAGGCCCGATAGTGGCCTAGGTGTATTTCTTTGGATTTGATGTAGTATACATCCTCCTATCAACCTACCTATCATCACTTCCAAGGTACTTGGATCTAACTTCGACGAATGCCTGGCAGTGGCAAAAAAAGTGCTCCAGAGTTTCACTGTCCTCTCCGCATGCTCTACATTCGTCTGAATCTGCAAGTCCAATTTTGCAGAGATGTGCTCGTAATCCTGTGTGTCCACTCAGAATACGTATCATCATACTAACTTCAGACTTGCTCATTTTGGGGAGATTATTCGTCTTGCAGGGTCACCCCATAACTGAACTAACTAACTACAACATAAGCTTTGATAGTGGGTATAAATATAAGATTCGGAATGGCCAAATACTTTTCTATCTCTATCATAAGTTATACTTAAACTAGAATACTTCTTATGCATTTTTCAAAAATGCATCCTAAAAGCGTATTTGAAAAAGAATGCATTATTTTAAACGTTTTACGTAATCCATCGATTTTCATCGATTGGATTTTAAATCAAAGATTTTTGAAGACAAGAACATTGGAAGTTTCAAACCTTTTGATTTTTTTTTTTAAGTTTTTAAAATTTTGAAGGCGGATATATATTATATGTCTCTTATGTGAATACAAAACATTAAAGAAATCGGAAAACCATCGGCTAATTCTTATTTCATTTTTCATGAAAACCTAATTGAAAAATTAATAAATTGTTTTACAAAAGACAGTTTATTTCCGAAAATCATTTTAGCTGTCTAATATTAAACAAATACCACAAAAGCCAATAAAGAGTGGTATCATAAGCCCTCTTAACATTTTGCTCTTTCTATGTGCGTGTATGTGTGTGTGTTTGTTTATCCATGTATCTGCAAATTATGGCAACATTATTCACAAGTTAAGACGGCTTTAAAAAGTATTAAATATATTTTGAAATAAATGCCTTAGTCAGATTCATACTCATCTTATCAGCATTAAACAGTTGCTGTTTTAACTAAATGTTCATGAATTAATTCTATTGTTCTACAAATGACTCGCTATTCATCTTATACTGAAACGAATGATGATGATGATGTTAATTTTCACTAATTAAGAAAAAAAATTACTTTTGATGTGAAATAATAATAAATTCTTTTGTTGTCTTCCCTTTTTGTTTTCTTTGCAGACATTTTAAGAATATCAACCAATTTATTATTGAAACTTTATTAACGCTTATTTTGAGAAGGAAAACGAAATCAATTAAAGGACTTCTCCATGTTGGGCAAATTTACATCAAATCATGTTCAGGTCTATCATCAGTATTCCCGTACTGTTTCATTAAAGAAACCTAAAAAGGTAAGAAGAAACGTTTATTATCGTTTGTTTCGTTTATTCAATTTTTCGTTTTTCTTTGCTTGAGTTTTTTTCTTTTATGCCTTTTACAAATTTATTGTATGTATTTTGCTTTGTGTTCAAAGGGAAATGATTATATAAAGTTCTTTGTTATTAACACATAAGACGGTACAAAAGCTTTGTGTTAAATTGTAGATTATAAGCAAATTTTTCAATTTAATTTAGTTACAAAAAAAAAAAAACGAAATAATTAATCCATTTTTTTGTATTTAAAATGCTTTAAATTATTTTTTTTTTTTGCAAAGCTTTATCTTTAACTATTTATTAAATATTTTTGTTTATTGTGTACATTGTTAAATAAATTAAAAAAAATCATGTATTTGTTCTTGTTGTTAAATGTCCTTTTAAGATTTCTGTTTATTATATTGTATGCAAAAATCCTACATGCTTGTCTCGTATATTATAGTTGACATACTGCACATATCACTCATTTACTTTAAAACTGCCTTAACTGAAAATTATTTTTTTTTTTAAACTGAATACTACAAAACCTTTGCAATCTATTACGGAGTCACTGTATTTTTTCCACATGTCAAAATACTTAGTTGAAGCATATTTATTTATATAAGTACATATTTATTTTCGAATTATGTACCACGACACACAAAAAGTAGTTATTTAACACACCAGAAGTAAACTATAGCGGTGTCATTTGCCAATTTGTAAAATAAATACAATTAAGACTCATATTATTTATGCACATAAGTGTGGCCTAAAACAAAAGCCACGGATGTTCCCAACTAATATGAAAACTTTATTTAATCTAAGAGTCCATTTCTCAGTTCCTTTTTGGAAGTTTTTTGATTTCCTCATATTTCGACAATCCATAAAGACTATTATCAAGCTTAAAAATTTGCAACAGCAGGATTCATCCAAAATAATGGAAATTGTTTGAATGGAATTAAATTGAAGCGAGTATTAGACAAAAAATGACCGAAATGATCATGCGGTCAGTAATATTCCATCACGACAACGCTCTGTCATATGTTGCAACATATGTGAAATACTACTTAGAATGTTGTGGTTGGGAAGTTTTGCTTCACCCGCCTTAGAGTTAAGAACTTGCCCCGTCCGACTACAATTTTTTTGCTTCGCTTTAGAACAGGATAACCGAAATTGTTCTTGGCCTTAAAATATTAGCTTTAAACAAAATCCTGCATTATTAACTTATACACCTAATATAACATTATGCCGCTCAAATGCATTTTAAAACCTCCTGAAGTACCTATTTGGTACAGCTAATCTAATATTGAAGCTACTTTTTTCGGGACAGCTTTAATGTACGTTAAATTTTCTTGAAAACAGAATGACTTGAACAATAATAGCAATTTTTCTTGAAACTATGTTTTCTGGACTTAAGGCACTTTTGAAATAAATGAGCGATATGTATTTGTATATTTCAATTTTCAATTACTATTGAATGTTTTGTCAGTGTATTTTTGTTATATGTTGTCGTTTTCATTTCATTCAGTTTCTCCTTTTAATGACGAACCATTTATGGAATAATTACACTTATCAGTCCACAAGGATTGAATACATAAAGGCATGTGGGCAATTTCGTGTCAAGTGACCCAAATTAAAAAAATCGATTTGGATGAAATTTGCATTAAGGTTAGTACTATTGGATAGTAGGCCAGGCATATCTATAAACAAATATGCCCCTTGCTTCCCACTAAATTACCACAAAGCTCTTAAAGGAAATTGTGTAAGCTTTCTTTTGTTCAAAATAATAAAAAACCGTCCATTTTGAAAAAATAGGGGAAATGTGTCAAATATTGACAAATCTTATTCTTGAGTAAAAGAATTTTTTTTGATAGAACTCCCACTCTCATTCCATTAAGAGACTATAAAGCCCTTAAGGAAATTGTAAAAGCTTTCTTTTGAGCAAAAAAGGGTCCATTTTGAAAAAAATTAAACGAATTTTTATTTAAATAAATGGAAGGATTGAAGAATATCTAAAGTCTTTTCGACAATTTTTGCTGGGACCAGTAGGTGAAAAACCTGACCTACTATCCAATAGTTCATCCAAATCGTTTTTTTAAGTTGGCTCACTTGACACGAAATTGCCCATATGTATAACAAATATTGACATTCAAAATCTAGTGTGGGTTGTGTTGGGTGGATGTTGACATAAATTTATATTTTATAGATGTTTCTTTTATACATACTTATTTAGAATAATTTTATTGTTTAATTAATGCTGATTTTGTTCCCAACAGTTTAAGAAAAAGTTTAAAATATTTGGCTTTAAGAACCAGCTTTTAAATGAATCAACATTTAAACTGTAAAAAGGTCTATTTTACTCTTTTAATTTTATGAGGTTATGACTGTAACTAACTTTTTTGAATTTTGTATGAAAATACTCCTTTGAAAAGACTTTTCAGCACAAATTGTATTTTTTTTTATTTTCGGTGTGAGATCGATTTTTTATTGTAAACGTAAAAACTAAAATGCATGTTTTCCGAAAATCAGATAAAAATTAAATTTCGATGAGAAACATATTGAACTCAACTATTTTTGGATTATGCAGGTTTTGTAGTAAATGAGCGATATGTATGGCTTGCGTTTTCATTCTTTAACTACAGTAATGCATAAATTTACTGCAGGTACTAAGTAACAAACACTTTATTTTTTAAGAAAATTTTAGGTCAATGTTGCTCTTTAATCAATGAAACTCCTTTTTTGGCCCATAATAAATAACTAATGTCGAAAATAAATTATGAAAAATTTAGTTTTGTTTTATATAATATGCGTAAAAAAATGCAAAAGTGTAATAAAAGCCATAAATCTTACTAAGAAAAATGTGCTTTTAAAACAAATGAACAAGTTTGAAAAATATGAAAAATGATGTTATAATTGTTTAGTGAGACATTAAAGAAGAGACCAATTAATTGTTAAAACATAAAAAAACATTTTGTTTTTAATTTTGTGTCATTTATTGATTGTACATATATTTCTAGAATTGTTCTTTTAGGCAACAGCACCTGACGAAATAAGTCTCTTAAAAGTAAAAATTAAGAAAGCTTTATAAAAAAATAGATATAAAAAGAAGAAAAGTTATTATTTTGATCACAAATTATACCAGACATAGATAATGCATTAGTGTATCATTTTCCATCAAAAATTTACTTTGGCCAAAGATTGAGTTAGCACTTTTTGAATATAGGGTGTCGATATGTATATAAATACATATGAGAGGAGACATTCGTCACTTTACATTCATCAAGTAATCTAGAGAGTGGATAATTAAAAAGCCAACACAGTTCATTGCCATTCATTGACTTTTTGACTGTCTCTTTGTAATCTATTGTGTGACTTCCTTGTAAAACAACCACATATTACAATAGCTACTCATTTGGGTAGCCGGTGGCTAGGGGTAACCCTGTGTGGTACATTAAATAGGTAGTTCATGGCTGTTCTGTAGAACCACCTGGCATTATGAAATAAATGAAACAAATATTTGAAATTTAATTTTGACTAAAGATGGAGTTTCTCGATTTAAATTGTTTAGTCGAAATCATACATAAAGATGGAAATTATATTGATTTTGTCATTACATTTTTAACACATCAAAATATTGTTGTAGATCCACGAAAGTGTATATGCATGTATATTCAGGGTTTTCATTAGATTCGCATGATATGGCCCACGCGGGAGGAAATAGTGAGTATACAGCTCATGTCATAAATATGTTGATTAGGCGTCGAGCGTGATAAAATTTTGTCCAAGAACAACAACAATAACCATAAAATTCGATATAAACAAGTTTTATAGGAAACAAAAAATATATATATATAATTAAATGAGAATCGGGTCACATTTGACCCTAGCATCTAAATAATAACCACTTACTGTTGCCCTTAACTAAAATTAATTAAAAATTTGACCGACCTAGTATATACATTAGACCGACTCACTTTGTATGGAATGCAAAAACGTGATTTTGTTACCCCTCTCAAAATTTACCTTGATTTGTTTTATGATGATTCCCGTTTGTGAGCTGGACCAGTTTAGTTTTGAAACAATATATCCAATATGGCGTATTTTAAAGGGATTTTAAAGCCGCGTTCAATGATGTATTAATGTACAATTTTGCACACTACTAGTCGTGGCATCAAAAAACCTTTCAAATGATACCACGTATTGTATATGTTGTTTAAGAAAAAACTGAAGAGGGACTTTTTTGTAACCGATCCAGCTCACGAACGGTCACTGATAAACTAGAAATGTTTTGGAAACCATCATAAAACAAAACAAATATTTTTTAAGATGGGTAAAATATTGAATTGAACATGAAAAATCGTGTCCCCCATAGGATATTTTCTTGAAAATTGTACAGCTCACGAATGGACAACACTGAACCGAAAATATTTTGGGAAACATCATATTACATAACAGCGAATATCTCTAAAATGATGCGTTTCAAAATACTAAATACGAGAAAACTAAAAAACAATTTTTTTGAAGAGATCCTCAGTTCCCTATCAGCGATTAAAAATCTTGATCTCGGTACAATATGTTAAAAAAAAATTTTAAATATTTTTATTTTTATTACGGAACTTTTGAGACCCATTTCGAAAAAATGGAATAAAATTATTTTTCAAAAATTATACTGACGCCAGGATTTTCAATCGCTAGTAAGGATCTGAGGACCATTCCAAACAAAAATATTTTTTATTTTTCTCGTATATTTTTTATTTTTCTCGTGTTCAGTACATTAATACACATCGATTGAGAGTTATTCCTATATTAAATTCTTATGAGAGTTAAAACTACCAGTGCAGAGATGAAATTCAACAAATTGAAAAGAACAAAAACCTATTTCATAAGAATGGGTTCTTAATTGACTCTACCCCGAAATAATCCCTCTTCAAAAGCATTTTATTAAGAAAAATTCGACAGAAATTATTTTTTCTACGAAATAAAAATTCTTAATATTTTCTTACATTGAAGTATCCCTTCCGTATCATTATTATGGATTAAATAGAAAATTAACCTTAAATTTTCGATTTATGTTATATAACACTTTTACTTGTTTTTTTGCCGTGTTTACTTTGACCTTACCAAAATGCTTTGATGGTTTTGATCCAAGTGAAAAATTAAGATTTTGTTTCTACGTCTTCTATGGATGATAACGATGTATGTTTGTTTACAACATTTGCAGAGAATTAAGTAAATCATTTACACAGCCAGACATACAGATTGATTTTTCGATTTTTTATTTGTCTAAAAGACGAGACAAAAGTCATTTAAGACTATATATTTATGTAGGTAATTATTGTTTCTTTAATTTGAAGTAAATGCAAGTACATATGTATTTATTATATTGGTTAGAAATTACACATTATTATTTCTTTATAAAATCAAAAATTATAACTAAACAAATTAAATTTCTTTTATATTATTTATTTGCACTGGCTGGCTGCCTGTTTGAATTTACATAAATATTTTTGCATGCTTATTTAGCTTGAAGTAGTAACAGTAGTATATAATTTATAATAATTTGAAATTTAAATAAAAAAAAATACATCGATTTCAATTTCAACAACAATTTTCTCTTTCTCTTTTTATGGAAATATTCATTTAGACAAATACAGAACAACTGTTGTCAAGTGCAACATAAATAAAGATAAAAACCAAATATTAAATTTAAAATAATAAAATTTCGCAGAATAAAAATAAGAATTGCTTCAAACACATACGGAAAAGGATATTGAAACACTCACAACAAAGTAAAACAGGATTCACAATAAAATATAAATAAATAAAAAAAGAGAAAGCGTAACAAGAGGAAACAGAAAGGCGGTTACAGTAATAACAATCGCAAATTCGCAAGAGACAATGTTAATACAACAATAGCAAAAAAATAAATCGCAATTCATAAATTTATAACTACATATAACGAAACATTGCAAAAATAAAAAAAAAATAAAATCCAAAGAACAAAAGAAAAAATATATAAATAAAAAATACTAACTGAGAATAACATCTGTAAAATACTGACTAAATGTCTGTCATCTGTCAGTAAATCAACAACGACATCATCAACAACAATTACAACGCCTACGACCTAGAACAGCAACAACATCAACATCATCTCTAGCATTTGAATCGTAACGAACGTTTCGTGGGAGTGTGTGTGTGTTCGGTGTGAGGGTGTATCCTGTTGGCGTTTTTTATAAAAAAAACGCCGTGTAACAATTTTGTGGCAAGAGTGTAAAGATTACAAAAATTCCACAATTCCGGAATATGTTGAAGCCAAAACGTCAAGCCAAACAGAAACCTAAAGCCAAACCGGTAAGCAGAAGAAATAAAATTAGTAGAAGAATCAATTCAAACATATCTCCTCCTAGTTTTTTTTATTCCCTTCTGCTTTTTTTTCTAACCTTCTCTCAAAAAAAAAAAAAAAATCTAAACAATTATTATTAAAAACATTTTATTTCCTCCTTATCCTTAAGATGCGTAAAACAATTTACTTCCTGTTTATCTTCTAATCCATTTCCTTTTAATTTTTTTCATTTCTAAAATTGTTTTACAATTTAGCTATTTTTTTTTCAATTTATTAAATTGATTGAAATGTCTACTTTTTTATCTATCTTTACTTCTATCTATCCTTTTCCATTTTCCTTGTCACAAATGAATCCTCCTAAATAAGTAGTTTTTCTTCTAACATTTCACTATCATTAACTTAAATATAGACTTTAATACCTTAAAAGTACTTGAAGTACAATAAATTTCAAAGTACTATTCCATAAGTATACAAATAGTACATTATTATTTTTACTTTTTTTTGATGTGCAACTTGACTAACTGCCAATTCGCTTTTATTTTTAGTTAAACAAATCGTATGTAAGAAATAAAAAAAAATTGCTACAAACAGCCCAAGCAGCTGAAAGCTGAAATATCTGTGCTTTTCAACAATCTCTGTAGTAGATTCAATTTAGCTTAGATGTCTTTATTGTATTTCTAGATATTTATTTGTAATCTAAGTACAGTAATCCTTTGGTTTACATTGTGAGTTGTTCAGACTATGAAAATCGAAAAGTTAAAAGTTGAAACGAACAAATTTGACAGCGTAAATCTGGGGATTACTGTAGCCATTTATGTGCGTTTATATTTATTAAAAAAAAAACTAGAAAACCATAAATTTTTTTTGTAATTGTATGAATGTATCGAATAGATTTTGAGTGCTTTATTTTATGTCTATGTAAGTGTTAACCAACATTTGTTGTTGTTTTTTTTTTGTTACCTTTCAACAGATTTCAATCTATTAAAATACGTACATTTATCCTTGAAAAATTTGCAATAGTCGACCGATAGGTCCTGTTTAAATCAAAATATCTGGCACTTGCAGATTTTTATATTCGATTAAAACGCTACAGAGCCATTATTGACGAATTTTTCTGGGCTAAATTGGATAACCTTTAGTTTCTGCTACATAACAAGCAGTTAGTTTGGTAATTGTGTTATAAGAAGTCTTTATTTTAGCTGCGAATCTAGCTACAGATGACCCTAGTCTTCATATAATGTTCACTGAAAATAATCCATGCTTAACTTTTCGAAAAACATTTCTTAAATACTTTTTTTGTAATATTTACAAAAATTTCGTTTATGATACGAAATATTATTCAATCAAACCTTTTCTAATTTTACGATAGTACGAAAACCTTTCGTAATATAGTTATTTTTCGTAAATGTGTACCTGTGTTAATTTTAGCCATCAGAGCGTTGGTAGCCGTCTCGCTCCGATGGAGGTTTATTTGGATAACCTCAATCATTGTCATCCATTTAAACTGTCTTCCAGCGAGTTAGTGATCACCTCCCCGCTCATTGGACTCGACTCCTACGGGTAACCTGAATTGGCTATTGATGCAGGGGGGGGGGGGGGGGTACCATTAATGACACTCCGATGTCCTTATCAGGCATAAGAAGAGCTGTCTTTTTAATCGACACGTTCCCAATTTTGGACAGAACTGCTGTTCTGTCTTCTGGCCAGTGAGTGATATCCTCCTTGCTTTTAGGAGTTGAATCCTCAAAATTACCAGTACTTGCTAATAATGCTTTGGGTACCGTCTTAGGTGTTTTAGTGTCCTTGCCGGGACTGGTTTTGACAGCCCTCCCCAATTTTGGAAAGGGCAGCTACACCTTCTTTTGGCGAGTTAGTGGTACCTTCCTCGCTATCAGTAGTTGCTACTGATGCTGTGGTCTTAGGTTTTTTAGTATCCTTTTCGAGGCTTGTTGTTCAAATCGGCACCTTCCCATTTTTGAATATGACATCTTTAGAGGCGAAGTAAGCCCTACCTTTATTCTTGGCAAGACTAGTCATAGATTTCTGGTCGATACCTATTACAAATAAAGTTCCCTCAGGTTCTTCTTTCCTGTAAAAGATATCCCATTTTTCCACGGCCAGCTCAGCATTTTGACCACCAAGAATTTCCAGTATACGTTCATTAGCAAGTTTACTGCCCCATCCTTTTATGTAGACAGTGGACTTTAAGAGCACCGGAAGCTCGTTCTTCTTTGCCAGTCCCAGCTTAGCGCCGTCCCAGGGATGAGGGATACTATCCACTTAGTTCTTTAGGGTGCTAACACATTGGTGAGATGCCAACCTCATCAACATCACGCCCATGCTGAACTCGCAGCTCACGTCTGTCGAATTACCGTCATCGTAAACTGCATAGCAGAGATCATCCCGGTATCTTCTTCCGGCAACTTTGGTATAAGATGGAGGCTCTTTTCCTTTTCCACTGTCTAGCCTCTCTTTCCTCGTTTTTTGGGGCTTATTTTGAGATACAACTACCTTCGAAGTTGATTTCGCTGACGTGGTCGTCTTCGGAATATCTATCTTGGTGTTGTCACACTTACTCGCAGGATTCTGACTTGAGGTTCCTCTGAGTGAATTATGGCTTGGCTTCGACTGTGTATTAGAAGACCGGGAGCTCTTTTTCTTCTTAGGTTTATTCTCAGTTGTCAACTCCTCGGGAGACCTGATCCTCTTTGCCTCAGATCTTGAGATAGACTCCGATTTTTCCTTTGGATTGTGGTTGGATTGACTAACTATAATTTCCTGAAGCATCTTTTTCAACTTCCTCCTCTATGCTCCAGATAGTATTTTCTTAGTAATAGATATTTTAGTTATGCTATCACTCACCTGCTCTACTTCATCCTTTTTGGGATTTGATATAATGGTGTTGTTATTATCATCTGAGGATTCAGATTCGTCGGAGTTCTCACCTATATTTAAAGGCTGATGGATGATAATTTGTTAGCTAAAATTTGTTAGCAGAAATAAATATTTTGTAAATTGCATCATAATTTTTCTAAAATTACTTTGCATTGTACTAAAATATTTCGTAGAATTTAGTATATATTACGAAAAAATTTCGTGGTGCGAAACAACTAAGTATTCGTATATATTTTTCGTATATATTAGAGATGAGTTATTTTTTTAATTGAGTTTTTTTTTTTAAATTTCATCTATTTAATAACCTATTTTTGAAATACTTCGAAAATTGATCACCCTAATAAATACACAATACATACACAGTTAACATCGAACCGACAATCATAATAAAATTTATTTTCTATTGCCTACGTGTAGGCTTACATATAAAGTTAAATACAATTTATATCAAAATCTAACACAACTCAATCAAAATGATTTTTTTGTTTCTGTTAGAAGTACTAGAATATTTAAACGATTTTTTGTTTTATTACTCCTATAGTTTCTTGTAAACCTTTCTGTCAATATGAATTTGTGCTTTTAAACATTGATATTATGAACATTACGGTACTACAAATTTATAGCAGAAAAATCTGCATTTTTCTGAACTGATATCCATCCCTTTCTCTATCCATATAAGGCTGGTAATTCAATTATTCCACGTTAAAAATGACAACCCTAAGTGTAAATTATAGCGATTGGAAAACATATCACTCTAGGTCATATAAAAATAACAATAGAAAATGTCTTCAGTCTCTCTGAAATTGTAAATGTGTCAACTATCAATTCTATGATAATGATTTGTTCTATGAAATAAATAACTATATCATGTTTTATAGAATTCGTTTCAAAATTTAACTGCACCCATATCCACTTTCGAATATCGTTCTAACGCTTATACATAAATCTATCAGAGGTATTACGATAAAATATTATAACAACATTTGTTGTACACCATTCAATTAGCTTCACAGCCAATCCAAAACGAACAATACTTTAAATACATTTGCAGCCATAGTTGGAAATCATATGCCCTGACGCACCTAAAACCAATATAGGAAACATAATGGAGAACTGAAAAAAGTGAAATAAATTGACATTGTTATAAAGAAACAAAATATTTTAGCTCGCTCTACCCTAATGTTCATCGTACATACGAATAGAAACTTGTAAAATGTATGTTTGAACAACTTTCAGCTTGTATCAAAATTTTATCAATTACATGTTATAGCCTTAAAGTATGCTTTAAATTAGTTGTAATTTCATTTATCTACAAAATACACATGTAAGTACATTAGACTGACTGACGTTGTATGGGAGGCAAAATCATGTTTTAGTTACCCATTTCAAAATTTACCTTATTTAATCTAGCGATGATCATTCGTGAGCTGAAACGATTTGAAAAAGAATTTTTTAAGTAATTTTTAAATTTTTTTCTCATCAAAGAGTGTATTAACCTTAAATAATAATTTAAGGTTACTATCGTCAGAATCCACAAGACTCATTTTCTTCAAGTATTTTAAAAAATGTAAATGTTTAAAGCAAAATGTTATTTGTTTTGTACATCATTAGACTCTACATTAAAAACCCTTTCAAATTATAGGAATGGGCATAGCTAGACCCAAAATATTTTCAAAATCATTATAAAACAAAAGAAATGTTTACAAAAGCCGAGTGCAATTTGAGAGTCGGTCTAATGTACATCAATATGTATGTATGTTTTGTTTATCCTAACAAAATTAATTAATTAGGTACTATTATTAGTTTTATTTTATGGAATTATTTAGTATTAGTTATAATTTAAATATGTGTATTTATGTCTGCCATGAATTCGTAAATGTGCTTGTACATATGTATGTCATAAATATTTAAATACTGGCAATATCGTTGACTTGTATACTTAGCCTTAAATTGTAGATAATTAATTTTTTGTAGAAACATATTTGTATGATACGTATTTAATTGTTATATTATAGTATTATTTTGTAATGTGCTTTATTTATTAATTATATATTTTTTAATTACAACCAACGTTACTTTTAACTAAATATGTTAATCTTCTATATATATAAAA